TCAAATGTATAATGTCAAGGCCTCTTTAAGTACAATGCAATTAAAGAAAGTAAACATTTTAATACTGCAATACTTTACCTAATGTGCAAAGATATCCTCCTCCCCATAAGAATATCCAAGTAGGACACTCAAAATCATTTTCTCCCCATTAATGTTCCAATGAATAAAGGGGGACTGTGTAAATAGGTCAATGACCACTTGAAAGAAACTAAATCCAACACTGTTTGAGACATTACAATACAAATGTCCTTTTAATCACTCAGGAGGGCATTAAACTTACTGAAAAGAGATCAAGAGAGATGCTTAACAGCTACAAAGTAAGATTTAAAGCAGTTCTGTCACTTATTTTATGTTTAAACAGGGATAGTCACTAAAGTCCAAATGGGCCTGTACCAATCAGGGCAAAACCATCTGGCTGCATATGGGGTCATTGAGACTGCAAAATACAGACACTGTTTACACTATTTAACAATGTTCATATTTTGCAAATCAGACTCAGAATTCATTACAAATTTTAGCCAGAACAAACACCGCTGGGTGTCTGAAATTCGGACCCAAATGCTTCAAATCTGGGCAGAGACCCTTCAAAGTCGGCAAACAGTTAGAGAGACAGAGAGACAAAATACTGAAAAATAGTATTTTATAAAGATAAAATCTTTCAGATCTGAAGTCCCAGAAGCAGAAGATGACCGGCCGGAAGAAGATGGCAGCGCCTGCGAGGGACATGTTAAGGTAAGTTAAACTCACCTTTGCCTGCCACCTCCAGCCTATAGAATCCTAGTGGTGATGTCACCATGAGGAGTTGTTGCAATTTCTGCAAAGTCCCCAGACAGTGACAGTGTCAGTTTAAAATCTTTTGGTGATCTGATGGTTAAAGGAACTGTATGGGCCACTTCAAAATTGAGTTGCTATGCTGCTTTCTTACCTGGAGGGGTTTTATGAAGCCCATGGAGCAACGAAGTAAGGGGAGTGGGCCTTGACAGAGCCAGGAGTGGGCAGGTGCATTCAGTTAGGGGTTGGCTTAAGCTAATGGAGCTTGGGGGCGGGATTAAAGGGGGTTAAAATAACGGCCATCTTAGAGAGTGGCCATTTTAATCAGAACTTCACTTACCTGTTAGTTGTGTCAGGTCTGTGGGGTTTTTCTTTTTTCTTTTGCTGCAGGTCCATGGCGTCCCTGGATGAGATTCTGGCCGGAGTGAGAGCAGCAGTGAAGGACCGAGGGCTGGCCTGGCTGCATGAACAACTGGGGGCTGCAGTTCCCCCTCCAGCACCAGCGGAGCGCAGGACGGCGCGAAGAGCACGGCCGCCCCAGCGCTTGAGTCCGGGCATGGCGCCCGCTCCACGGCGGCGGAGGAGCCCGTCGGCACCCAGCCAGGAGGCAAGAGGGTCGGACAACACTGGGAAGCGGCCGGCGCCGCCTGTGCGCCGCGGTGCCGGTCAGGCGAGGACGGCCGCAAAGCGCGGGCCTGCTGGAAAACGCGCCCCACCCAAGATGGCGGCAGGCAGCACAGGTACCCCAGAGGAGGGCTCCAGCACGGCGGGAATGGCGGCCGGGAGAGCGGAGGAACACGTGGTCGGCAGCACTTCAGTGAGGCGTTCCGGTGAGTCCAATCTGGTCACTGAGGGGCAGGGGGCGGGCGGGCGGGACGCGGGATGCTCCAGCGCAGGCGGCCCCCCAGCAACCCATGGGTGGCCTGGTCAGCGGGACCAGCTCGCGGGCGGCCTTAGGTGTGGCCGGGACGGGCGACAGTGCCAGGCATAGGGAGGAGGGGCGGCAGGAAGACGGCAGGATCGGACAGGGAGCGGCAGAGGTTCCAGCGGGATGCCAGGGGGTGCAAGGGGCATCTGAGCCAGGCGCAGCGGCCAACAGATGGCCAGGTACAGCGGAGAAAGGGGACACACGCAGTACAGCGTGGGATAGGGAAGTCAGGAGCAGTAGCAGTGGAAGGTTGGGCCCCTCAGGCTGCTCTCACGGGGGGCACCGCAGCGGGACCAGGGAGCGGGAGGAGTACAGACGGGAGCGGCGCAGCGGTAGCGCCAGGCCCGGCAGCAGCAGGAGGTCAGCTGATCGGCAGTGGAGCAGGGACAGGAGTCCATCGCATAGCAGGCGCAGTGGCGGGGAGAAGGAGATCCGCTTCCAAGGACGGGCGGGGGCGGAGGCGGCGCAGCGCATCTGGGTCCTCGGGTGACAGTGCGCTAGGACAGCAGCGGGCCCCCAGGAGCAGGGAAGTTAGGCCGACAAGGCGGTGCGAAGCTTGGAACTGCGGAAAAGAGCGTAGGGAGGAAGGACGGGTAGGGGCCCAGCAGTACAGACTACCCAGGTTGTCTTCTCCTTACAGGTCGCGGAGCGCTACCCCTACGGTCCTGAGGAGGGATCAGGCGGATGGGATTCGGCGTCAACCGGATGCTCCGGAGCCTGAACGGGTGGACAGAAGGTCGGCAACCCCGGGGCCTGGCACGGCCGGGGTCTCCAACGGTGAGTCCATATCTGCACAACACTCCGGACAGTTATTGGGCTATTTAAAAACACTATTGGAGGCATGGTCAGGGAAGGGGGAATCACCATTGCAGTTCGGAAAGGTATGGTCCCCTGACACGGCGGTTAAGGCAATAGGGGCGGGGGTCCAACCAGCGAGCGGTGGCGAGGCAAGCGAAGCGGTAGTGGCGTCCGGTGCGGCGGATGGGGGGGCTGAGTCGGCGGTCGGTTGTGGCGACATTTCGGACGCGGCACGTCAAAACGTACACGTATCTTTTGCGGGCCCCCTAGGTTGTCACCTGAAATTAGAGGTCAAAGAAAAGATTTGGAAGGGGGAGTTCATGGAAATTTTTTCCTTGCTCCCTTTGGAGGAATTCCTAGACTTGAAGGAGGATAAGAAGGACGCCAAGAAGGAGGAAGAAGAAAAAAGGCGGAGGTATCGCAAGATACCGAAGACTTTTGGGAATTGGCTCAGGGCGTTCTGCATCCTGGCTAGTGTGATAGGGGAAAAAAGGCCAGGGAGCTGTTCGCAACTGTTCTGCTACTTGGATGGGATAGGCGATGCGTATCGGACGTATGGGGGCCTAGCGTGGTGGAAATATGATGAGCAGTTTTGGCAACGCTTGGCGGCCAACCCTACCATGCGGTGGGACCAAATGGACCTGCCGCTATGGATGAGGATTATGATGGCGCAGAAGGCTGCGCCCTTTCTCGGGGCAGCTGGGACAGCCTCGGGCGTGGCTGTGCCAGCGGGACAAAAGAAGGGCCTGTGCTGGACGTACAACGAGGGTCAATGCAAGTGGGGCACTTCATGCCGATTTAGGCACGAGTGTTCGGGCTGCGGAGGGAATCACGGCGCCAGCAGATGCTTCAAGAAAGGTAAGCTCAATGCAGGGGGTGGAACCGCAGGGGTGGCGGCCACCTCGGCTGCAACTGGGGGCGTCCCCAGTGAGGTTAGGCGCGATGTTGCCTTGGCTAAGGCACTACGCTAACCAGGAGGATGCAGCGTTCCTGTGGCGGGGTTTTAGGGAGGGCTTCGTAATCCCCTTCACGGTTAAGGAACCAGGGGCGGTTTGTGCCAATCTTAAATCGGTGCGGGAACGCCTGGAAGTAGTGCGGGAAAAGCTGGCCAAAGAGGTCCTTTTGGGGAGGATGGCGGAGCCGTTCCCGTATCCTCCTCTAGCGGAGTTGCAGATATCCCCACTTGGAGTGGTCCCCAAAAAAGAGGCTGGCAAATTCAGGTTGATTCATCACTTATCGTATCCTAAAGGGTCATCGGTGAATGATGACATCGACGCAGCACTCTGTTCAGTATCTTACACATCATTCGACAGGGCAGTCGAGTTGGTACGGAGAGCTGGGCGGGGAGCGCTGATGGCGAAGGTGGACGTGGAGGCAGCGTTTCGGCTGCTTCCCATACACCCGTCATGTCATCACCTCTTGGGGTGTTGTTTTGAAGGGGGCTTCTTTGTGGATCTGTGCTTGCCGATGGGTTGTTCCATCTCGTGCGCCTATTTCGAGAAGTTTAGCACTTTTCTGGAATGGGTAGTGCGACGGGAATCGGCCGGGGGCACGGTTGTGCATTACCTGGACGACTTCTTATGTGTCGGCCCTCGAGGCTCAGACCGGTGCAAGCAGATACTACGGGTGTTCCAATGGGTAGCGCAGACGATGGGGGTTCCTTTGGCGGAGGACAAGACCGTGGGACCCGCCACGTGTCTTAGTTTTCTGGGTTTGGAGATCGATTCGGAGATCGGGGAATGTAGATTACCACAGGACAAGTTGCACAAGCTGAAAGACTTGGTGCACACAATTGGGAGAGCACGGAAGGTGACGCTGAGGGGATTACAGTCTCTGGTAGGGAGCCTGAACTTTGCGTGCAGGGTCATACCCATGGGGAGGGTTTTCTGTAGACGATTGGCGCGGGCGACGAGCGGGATACGGATGCCGTCACACTATATCAGGGTTTCCGCGGACATGAAGGCGGACTTAGAGGTGTGGGATCGTTTTTTGAGGGACTTCAATGGCAAGACCTTTTTTCGGGAGCAAGTGGTGTCTTCGGAAGCAGTGGGGCTGTTTACGGACGCTTCGGGCAGCGTGGGGTTCGGGGCTTATTTTGCAGGACGGTGGTGTGCCGAGGCATGGCCCGAGGCATGGAGGGCGAGCCCATTGATCAAGAATCTGGCATTTTTGGAACACTTCCCTGTAGTGGTTGCGGTAGCATTGTGGGGAGCTGAATTAGCAAACAAACGAGTCGTGTTTTATTCGGACAATATGGCCGTGGTGCAGGCAATCAACAGTTTGTCGGCATCTTCGCTTCCGGTCTTATGCCTACTGCGGCATTTGGTGCTCCTCTGCATGTCTTCCAATTTAGTATTCAGGGC